AGGACGAGCATGGAAGGCAAACGACCACATTTGCTGTCAGGAGCAAAGCTCAGCTCTTCTGAAGATATGGAGGCAGACATCACTGATGTTGTACAAAGAACAATCCTATGAAAATGTGCTCCAAGTATCATACATCTTTCTACCAGTAGCAAAAAAACTGAACAAGTAGCATAAGCGGCAAAGCAGGCATTCAGTGACCTTAGCAGAGGTAAAGCCACAGGACTAGGATAAGTTACCGGACAGCCACTTAATTGCACAAACCTGTCAATGGAAAGCAATGAAACTAACACCTTTGTTTTGTAATTAACAAGGGAAAGTGAGGACTCAGAATTGTCATTTGAATGTGCCATATAGACTATTTTTATCTGTAAGTCTTTGCAGTTTGATGGCTTATTTTAAAAAATAAAAAAACAAAAAAGAAACACACTTATATTGGGACATTATTGATAAAGAAAGCATACAATATCGTAGTTTGCTTGTGTAGTCATTCCTCAGGATTTTGAGATGTGTATATTGACCTGTAATTGTCATAAGTAATGCAGTACTCTAATTTTAAAAGACATCTACTACTTTTGTTGTTCCCTGTTTTTATACCAAGGTGTTTTTGTTTTTTTTTCTTTTGGGGGCGGGGGGTCCACATATGTATACCAGTTCCACGTACTGGTTATCAGTCTAACTCATAACACTGGAGTCCTGTTCCTGAGTAATACTTGCTGATTGCTTATGGCTCAAAAAGCAGAGAAGAAAAGGTTCAGGACTATGACATGTGAACATTGAATTCTTCCATCACACACCTTAGTATATTTTAGTGGTAGAAGTATTAACAGAACTAAAGTTATAAATAGTGCTAGATCACATTAATCAGAATGTTCTGGATGTTGGTTTTGAATCATTTTTGATGAACAGCCTTAGTGATCAGTGAGCCGCAGTGGTTTTAAAAAGCACTGTGCTTTGTCACTTTGTCTCTAGTTCTGCTGAGGGCTTGCTGTCTCTAAATGTGAAACTGCCTCCACAGGTTGAACTTCTTGAAGCAGCTCTTGAACGCAATACCATCGTCTGCTTGAATACTGGCTCAGGGAAGACCTTCATTGCAGTACTTCTAACAAAAGAGCTCTCCCACCAAATACGTGGACCTTACCAAGAAAATGCGAAGAGGACTGTTTTTCTAGTGAACACAGGTACCTGTGCCAGAAATGTCTGAACTTGTTGTTTATTCGGATTCAGCTGGTGTGACACTGTGCTTGATTTTTGTCTGTGTGTCATTCTGTATCTCTGCTCTGTTCCACAGCTGCTTCTGTAGTTCAGCAAGCAGCTGCAGTCAGGACTCACTCTGACCTCAGTGTGGGAGAGTATACAGATCTGGAGGAGACCTTAGCATGGACTGACCAACGGTGGAGTCGACAGATAACAGAAAATCAGGTGTGCTTAAGCTGATGCTAGTTGCATGCTGGGATGCTCTTACAAGTTTGTCTCCCTTTACAAACAGGAGAGTAAAACAAACTGTATGAAGGGCAATACTGGTTAGATACAATATGTCAGATTGTTCATCTTTTTTTTTCTTCACCCTTTTAACATATTTATACAAACTAATTGTTTTAGCTTCTTTCAGTGTACTCACTTTGAATGTACACAATATGAAACTGGGTCCCATTTAAACACAGATGGAACTTAAACTTTGGTCATTGTTGTTCCTGAATGTCATCACATTCACATAATAAGCCAACAGCATCCAGTTAAGCGAATATTGTCTGATACCAGTGTTTTTCTCAGAAACACCATTACTTTGTCATAATAAAAATAATATCTGTACTTGCAGTTCTTTTTCATACCTTTAAACACTGACTTATTGGGCATGGTAAGCCCAGCACTCTGTTTCCCTTCATGCTGCAGGGGGAGTCGAAATCCTCCAGTGCAGCGGTCTCCAACCTTTTTTGCGCCACGGACCGGTTTATGCCCGACAATATTTTCATGGACCGGCCTTTAAGGTGTCGCGGATAAATACAACAAAATAAAACTAGTACCGGTACCGAAAAAAAGAAGATTTATTCATAACACACGTGAAAAGACCCAGGAAAACCGAGTTAACGATAAAAACGATAACAAAATAACGCTGAAAACTGATAAAAACCCTGAAAACCAGACATTTCACACCTGAGCCTCAACTCTCGCGGCCCGGTACCAAACGACTCACGGACCGGTACCAGGCCCAGGGGTTGGGGACCGCTGCTCCAGTGTACTTTCTGTCTGTGATTTCACTGGGGTCTGCTTGGGACAGGGTGATAATTTTGTCATTAGATCGTGAGTGCGAGGGTGATTGCAGATGTTTTTTTTGGTGACCGTTCAGATTTGGCTGTGGACAATTTACATTAAGTACATGGCACCAAATACACATCCAAGGAAGGAGAGCGGGAGAGAGAGAAAAATAGAGATGTATATCTGATAGTTAGATATCCTGTACTCACTGATGGTAATAATCATTGTCTTTGTCAACTTTCTGTAAGGTGCTGGTCATGACTTGCCACATATTCCTTCATGTTCTGAGGAATAAAATCTTACCATTGTCGAAAATCAACTTGGTGGTGTTTGATGACTGCCACCTGGCCATCACAGACCACCCGTACTGTCAGATAATGAAGGTGAGATTGTAGTCTTTAAGGAAATGGGATTACGTTTATTGTAATAGTGGCAAAATCATTGTGGATGACCTGGCTGTCCTCTGTGTGTGCAGCTGTTTGAGGGCTGCTCCTGCACTCCTCGTATCCTCGGTCTCACAGCTTCCATTCTGAATGGAAAGTGTGACCCATCAGAACTGGAGCAGAAGATTCAGAATCTGGAAAGAATCCTTAAGAGCAATGCTGAAACTGCTACTGATCTCGTGGTCCTGGACAGGTAAGCCTTATACCTGTGTGCATTTGACACTTTCCTCGGCTTAAGGCCCTCACATAGCATGCGCTGTGGTGAGCATGAGGTTCAGCAAAAATTTGCTTTGACTTGCCACTTGCAGGTTTATACTGCTGTTTAGGGCTGGGTATCGTCACTGATTTCTAGAATCGATTCGATACCGATTCACAAGGTCCCGAATCGATTTGATTTGAATCTGGGAAATTTTGACAGTCAGAAATATTATAATTCAGATCAGTACATTTACATATTTTTGTATCTATAAAAAGGAAGCTGACACATCAAGACTTTATCAAAGGTGTGAGC